CTTTTACCTTTGTTTCACCTTTCTTTCACCTTTTTAATTCTGGAGTCATATCCAGTAAATACTAGAAAGGCAAAATCACAACACTATCAACCCTATATATCCTCAACCCTAAACCGTAATTTCCAAACCTGAAAGGGTTTTACGGTTTAGTGTTTAGGATTTGGATCTGGGGTTTAGGGCTCAGGGTTAAAACCCTGAGCTCCAACACTTTGGAACCCGAAGCTTAACTACACCCTCCCTAAACCCTAAACCCTAAACCCTAAACCCTAAACCCTGAACCCTAAACCCTAAACCCTAAACCCTAAACCCTAAACCTTAAGCCCTACGTTTACCATGAACCTTAAACCGCGACATACAGCTCTTGAGTCAGGGCCTTATAAGGTTTACGGTACTTCGGCTTTTTCGTTCATAGCTCGAAAAGCTTCGGGTTTCGGGCTTCAGAGGCTTCGGAGGCTTAGGGATTAGGGTTTAGGGGTTTAGGCTTTAGGGTTTATAAGGGGCTTAGGGGTTTAGGGGTTTGGGGGTTTAGGGCTTTGGGGTTTAATGGTTTAGGGCTTTGGGGGTTTAGGGTTTAATGGTTAGGGATTTAGGGGTTAGGGTTTAGGTTTAGCCGAATAGGAGTTAGGATTAGGGGGACCCTTGAGGATATAGACCCTCTCAGTAAGGTCCCTTTTAAGAGAGCCAGCAGTGGGGTTAAGAAGGGTACCATTTAAGGGGTCTCCCTAATACTACCTATAGGACAAAACGCTCTGTCGACAGGAGTGGATGGCTAGATTGATGAGCGTCTTCCGGACCAGAGAGGAGGATGTCGTCGACATACAACGCCAAAAGCAACTTGGATTCTGTGAGCCAATATGAACTTTGGAAAAGATCACAATGCTTTCCACCCATGCTTTCAACAACTGATTTGGAGCGAGCATTCCAAAGGTATCCCGACTCCGGTTGTCCATATAATGCGCCTTTCAAGCGGACGCACGCCAAGCAGAGCCCATGATATCAAGGTGAGCTACTCAACCCCTAAACCCTACAGCTGAGCTACTCAACCCCTAAACCCTAAAGCCTAAATCGTAGCACACACCGTCAGCAGCTCAGGGTGTAGGGTTTCGGGTTTAGGGTGGTTTAGGGAAATCTAAACTTCTAAACCCTAAACCGTATACCCCTGAGCCTTAAAACCAACAACACCCAAGCCTCTCACCCCGAACAGAAAAGCCACACGCCCCTGAATTCAGGACTAAACCTTAAACCTAAACCCTACAGCTACCTGAAAACAGAGATCCTCGCATTAGCCTGTATTCTTTCAGGATAACCAGGGCCTTTGGGGCCTTTACATGCTCCAAAAATTAGGGTTTAGGAGTTTGGGGAAGATTTGGGATTTAGGGTTTAAGAGCTTAGGCAAAAGATAGGGTTTGGGGTTTAAGAGTTTAGGGAGGATTTAGGGTTTAGTTTTAAAGAAGATTGAGGGTTTAGTTTTAAGGAGAGGTAGGGTTTAGGTTTTAGGGTTTGGGATACCCCAGGCCATGATCTATACTGAACTTAGACCCCTAGCAAAAATTATAATTTTAGCTGCTTCTTAGGGTTTATAGTAACCAAAGATTAAAAATTATTTCTAAGTACCCCTAAGAGGCCATGATTGCCAAACATCAACAGCCGAAGGGCCACGGGCTGCCCTGTGAGCTGCGCCGCAATCAGCCCTGCCTTCATGGTTTCGGGGTTTCGGGTTTAGGGATTTAGGGGTTTAGGGGTTTAGGGTTTAGGGTTTAGGGGTTCAGGGTTTAGGGTTTAGGGTTTAGGAGTTTCAGGTCGGAGGGGTTTAGGGTGTACCTAACCACCCCCCCAGGGGGTAAGTAGAATAATGGCCCAACACCGATAAAAGGCTAGGATTCTACATACTTTTGGGGTCCACCCCAAACCCTAAACCCGAAAGCCTGAACCCTAAACCCAAACGGTTGTGGGAGGGGCTTTAGGGCTCAATGCACCAGGGCTTCAGAAGCTTAGAGCTTGGTGCCATGTGGTTTTCAGCCTGATGGTCATCGTCGGAATGGAGTCGGATCTGGCTTCAGGGTTTTTGGGGTTCAGGGTTTAGGGTTCAGGGTTGAGGGTTTAGGGTTTTGGGGTGGGGGTTTTGGAGGATGCGATGTATAGAAAAGCCTTTATTACGAACACTTGAGGCTACTGTTGCAATGGAGTTGGTGCAGTGCTTCGGCTCTAGAGTCAGACGTACGGGAGTGGGTTCTTAAGGCCCAGCTTGCTTGACGGGATTCTCTAAACTCTGACTCTAAACCCTAAACCCCTAAAGCCCTAAACCATTAAACCCTAAACCCCTTAAGCCCTAAAGCATTAAGCCCTCAACCCTAAACCCCTAAAGCCCTAAACCATTAAACCCTCAACCCTAAAACCCCCAAACCGTGGCTCTGCTTCTTAAAACCCTAAACCCTCAAAGCCCTAAACCCTTAAA